ATGGTGTGACACTGCTGTGTGGTGCTCAGAGGTGACTGGATCGTATGGAGATATGCGCTGAAAAGGAGCCCTTACCGAGTCAGAGAATGTTCTCAAAATAGAAAGCTGGGAACCTTCAGGTGGCTGAAGACAAGGCTTGGAGGGGTGGGGACAGGCGCAGTGGTCATGCTGTAGACCCCGTATAGTGGACTCTGTCAGTGTCCGCACCTTTCCTGGTGTCTCTAAGCCTCCCCAGAGGCTGTGCCTTCCAGGGCTGCCTGTAGATGAGTGAGCACCTGGCTGGGACCCTGCAGTCGGCCTCAGAGAGCACCCAAACCTGAACCACCCGAGTTTGTGTTGGTTAACTACCTTCATTGTTTTCCTTTTCATCATTCAGGTTGTTTTTAGAACCAGTGATGCAGTAGAAATATGTTTTAGAACAATAACTGTTCTTTAGTATACGGAGGAGAGAAGGGTCAGAGCTGATGGGTCACAGAGGAAAGGTGTGAAGGGGCAGGAAATGCCATCAGCTCTCTGTGTAGAGATACTTTTGAAAATACTGCATTTCAAAATCTGGATTGACCACTCTGGTCTGATCACTTAGAATGGCAGTGTCAGGGAGCCCGTGTCAGTGATCCATGTGCTGGCATTGTAAGTTTTAGAGGTTACGTTAAGAGAGCTGAAAAGAAACAGGTAGTTGTAATATATATTCTATACAACTTATATTATACAAGAATACTTTATTATACAGTAATCATAAAAGCAATTCAAATTGTATTCATTTTAATCTGTTACATTTACCCTAACTAATCAAAATACCACTTCAGTATAAAATCAATAGTAAGACATAGTACTGAAATATATTACATTCAATTTTTATAAAGACTTTGAAATTTGGTTCTTTTTTTTGGTGTTTGTCTTGTGTACTGTTCTGTTTGTTTTTGAGGGGCTACAGATTGAACCTGGAACCTTTGCACTGAGTTACAGTAGTTCCAACCTTTTGTAAATTTTATTTTATTATTTTTTAAAATTTTCAGATGGAGTCTTGCTCAGTTGGCCAGGCTCAGCTTGAACTTGTCTTGCTTCTCCTGCCTCCGTCTCCCCAGTGCTGGGAGTACAGGCATGCATCACCACGCCCAGCTGCTGTTTGTATTTCATCCTAGCAGCACATCTGTATTTGGACTGGCCATGTCCCCATTCCACGTGTTTAGCAGTCACATGCAGCCTGGGGCCACCATCTAGAAACGTTCAAATTAGTGGGCTTCAGGCCATGGTGATGGAATATAGAAAAGAAACTAACTAGAGGAGCAAAATTTCCTTATGAGGAACTTTTATACTGAATATTTGCATAGTTTTTCTTTTCTATAGGTGGTAATAGTAGATGTGTAGGATGAACAAGTCTAAAGATATACAACATGAAGACTGTAGTTAATAATGTTATCTTATACACAAGATTGTTGCTAAGTGAATAGGTTATCACTGCTCTTGCCACAAGGGGCAAAAATGTTCATCTCTTTGAGATGATAATATGTTTCACTGTAGTGACCATTTTAGTCTCTCTACATCTCATAACATGCTGTGTACCTTAAGTATACACAATAGAAAGTTAAAGTATATTCATATATTTACAGCAGTTCACTTTTATATTGCGATCTGACTTGTTACAAAGGCTTCATCTAGATGTCTTAGAAAATTTTTTCCCTTTGAAGCTTTATGGTCTCCTCCCCATTTTTTTTCATTTTCACAGCATTTATTCCTAGGGCTTTGAAAACTGTTCTCAGAATCCATTTTCAAGCTCAAGAAGTCAAAAAAGCTGGCTGGGGAGACCTTTGTTCACTGCAGGTAGAGCAGGCGGTCAGATCTGGTGTGTTGCAAGTTCTGTCCAGAGGATTTATGGGCAGGCAGCTCAGCAACTGTACAACACCCCCTTTTCTGGAGGGGGAGGGTCCTGTCAAATTTTGAGCAGAAATGTTTCAAACCACCTTAAATCTAAAGCCTTTAGCAAGTTTTTTAATGCTATCATGACCCAGAAGGGACAGTAAGAAAGATTTAAAAGGAATAGAAATAAGTCAGTTTTGAAAGAAAGTCTATTTCCTCTCTCCCCTTTACATCCCTGGCTAGAAATCTGTGGCACCCTCCCCCTGTGAATGGAGTGGGAAGGAAATTCCTGAGGCTTCCCGGTCTGGGTCCCGTGCCTAGGAACGTGTCAGCCAGACTGTGCCCTGGGTATACTGAGAGTATTATACAGAGCTAGCTGGGCAAAGTCTCCAAGACCCTATGTCATGTGAGAATACAAATTTCATCTCTTGAGTGTTTGAGGATGTCTTAAAAGACAGAACTTAACAACTCGGGTTAATACATTGAAGAATTGGAAGGGGATTAGTAGTAAAATGACTTCTACATCTCAGCTCTTACCATGAAGGTATCACTTCCCATTCTCAGGCTTTATATTAAAACCTGTATTGCAATGGTTTCTAAAGATCAATACTGCAGGGAACCTTTCTAGTGTATGCCTCAGCGTGCAGCATTCCACAGCCAAGGAGGACTGGGAGCCAAAGAAACAGCCTTGGCTTCCAGCGGTTTCTCAGGTTGCCTCTGCCTCTGTCTCCCAGTCTGTGTCTCATTTGCTAGCAAGTAAATGTGAGCTGAAGCATCATGATCACACACGGCCAGCAGCTCCCTTAGAAATGATGCCACCTGTGTATTTTCTGGATCCTAGTTAGTCTTTCTGGGTCAGAGGTGGTGAACCTATGGCACACATCCCACAGCGAACTGTTGGTTATCACTGAAAGCTCTCAAAGGTTCGCCATCACTCCCCTAAGTGCTCTGCATAAAAAATGATCCATGGTCAGACACATGCAGGAAGTGCTGCATACTGTGTCCTTCTCTTGCAGCTTGATAATGGGCCGACATAGTAGGTGTCTTGAGAAATATTCCAGGGATATTAACTGGGGATCTCCCACACTCAATGGATTGTGGGACACTTTTTAAAAAATTATTTATTTATTTGCCTGGATTATAGACACTCTTTTTTAGAAAATGGAACATTTGGAAAAGTTGATCAGATATTGAGTAATTAGGCAAGTGTTAATTTTTAAAGGATTGATACATAATGTATATTATTCAATTGCAGCATAATTAATTTTGCTAGACATCAATCTGAAAAAGGTAGCTAGAAATTTCCCATGTTCTTAGATTTAAGAAATATGTCTAATATATATATATACTTCTAAATAAGCCATGAATCAAAAATATAATGAAATAATAAAACAATTTCAAGAAATGATAATAAATAGTGTATGCTACAGTTGATGAGAGGGAAATCAGCATTCCTGGGAAACCTTGCAGCTTTGAGTTTGTGGCAAGGCATTTCAGGGTGCTTCAAAGCCCAGGCGCTTAAGGGCCCTAAGGAAGGACATGGCCCTGCCTTTTGGGACCCTTTTTGTCTGTGTATCCTGAGAGAAGGATGAGAAGGGCAGTCTCTTGGGAAACGCTGCCCTTGGTACTTTCTCGGGGAGCCTTTCCCGTGCCCTGCAGAGGAGCAGAATGCTAAATCGTGGCCTTCTGCCCCTCCCAGTTTCTAACTGTCAGCGGTGTGTGTCCATTCGGCGGACACAGCTGGTCCTGGCCCACACAGCTTGGGCCTGAGCCCGCGCTGAGCCCCGAGGCGGCAGGGGTCTGCTCGGACAGTGGGTGGCACAACCAGGAGGCCAGTGTCACTGGAGCAGAGGAAGAGCAGGACGCCACCAGCAAAACAGTGGTGGTTCTGGTCAGGGGCCTTGTGGACCAGCAGAACTCAGGGTTTGTACTTCTGAGGAGATGGGAGGCCAATTGGAGTGTTCTCAGCAGAGGGGCGGTACTGCCTGGCTGATGTTGCAGGAGGATCTCTGGTAGAACCGAAGAGGCCAGGAGATATGAGAATGGTCTTAGCCAAGTTCAGAAGAGACAGGATGGCTTGTGTCAGGCAGGAATATGTGCTCATGAGGCCCCAGTTCTGAGCGTTTTGAGGGGTGGATGTGCTTACCCCAAGGGGGCCAGGATGGTGATGTCACTGCTGGTGATTAAGTTTGTATTTCCTGGTTTTTAAAAAAATGAAAAAGATCTTGGGACATAGCTCAGTGGTGGAGCGATTGCCTAGCACATGCAAGACCCTGGATGTGATGCTTACCATTACAAAAGAAAACAGGAGGACGATTTAAGGATAGAGAATCATGGACAGCTAGTGTATTTTGTAGCATTCGATTTAGGGTTCTTTTTTAAAAAAGATTTTTGAACTTTTTGATCATGTACTATTCACATTTGTGTTACATACCAGTTTTGTTACATGATGTATGTACTCTATTATGTAAAATAGAACATTGAGAAGAAAAATAGAACGTGGAGAAATGACAATTAAACCTGGTATAAAGAAAACATCCCTTCTTCCACCAGGGGGAATTTGAATCAATAGACTGAAAATTAAGGGGACTTTGATTGGGACTGACATATCTAAGAATTAATTAATGCAGACAGTCCTCAACTTACAGTTGTTTCACTCAACAATTTTCAGTTTTTCAGTGGCACGAAGAGTCACAGACATTCAGTAGAAACCCTTTGAAGGTCAGTTTGGGGGCCAAGTGCTCTGCAGTTGTTCCTCCCTGTCCTGTTGGCAGCTGCAGCAAGCCTCGCTTTCCTCTGGTCCCGAAGATCACGTGGGGGGATGAGTGCTGTTTTGTAGTAGGCTCTGCTGCTACACTAACGTGCATGGTGATCGGAGCATCTAGGGCCTTTTTGCCATCAGGATGTAATCCCATCCTAAATTGAGATTGTCTGTATTAGCCATTGTTTTTACCATTGTAGTCTTCTCATCAGTTAAAGTAGCAGATTTTCAATCCATTTCTTTACTTTTCTCCTCTTTCTACCCAGATTGAAGCCATCACCACCTCTGATTTTTTAATTATTGGTATCGATTTTTTAAAGGTCTATCTTGGTCCCAAGAAATGACTCTTGCATATTATGGTTTGAATCAGGAATGTCACCAAAGGTCATGTGCTGTGAGCTTGGTTGTCAGCTGAAGGACACTTGGGAGGTGATTGTATCATTTCTTTTTGTTTTTGGTACCGGGGATCGAACTCGGGTCCTTCTGTTTGCGAAGCAGGTGGTGAAACCACTGAGCTAGAACCCCAGCCCCTGGTGATTGTATCATGGTGAACCCATTGGTAGATTCATAATTTCATGGCTTTATTTGGAGATGATGGAATCTTAGGAAGATGGAGTCTAATGGGACTGGCTCTTAGGGGTGAGACCCTGGGGATTGTATCTTGGCCCTTGCCTTTCCCTCTCTTGTTTCTCTCTTTTCTTTCTTTCTCTCTCCATCATGAGGTGTGAGCCACTCTGCTGCACCACATGCCCTCCACCACGAGGTTCTGACTCACTCTGGATCCAAAAGTAACAGAAGCAAGTGTCCATGAACCGAAATCTCTGAAACCATAAACCAAAGTAAATCTTTAATCCTTTGATTTTTTTCAGGTATTTTGTTAGCAATAGAAAACCAACACATTGCATTGTATTTTCTTCCAGTCCTCCAGGGGTTTTAAATCATGTCTTGAATAGACTGCCAATATCTTACCTTGCCCCACAAGGCTCTGCTTGATCAGATTCCTGTTCCACTCTTTCTGGAAATAGATCTCTCCTTGTTTTCACTGGATTTTTTTCAGGGTCCACAAACTTCTCTCCTTGATTATCCATTAATGGCTAACTTGTCCTCACCCTACAAATTATAACATTTTATGCTCTCTCCTAGCCCATGTCAGTCTCTCTTTCTTATTATCCAAGTATCTTTTCTTCATAGCGCCCATAGCTTTTGAACATTATTGATTTTACTTGTTTATTAAAACCCACCCCAACACTGACCACCCCCACAGCCTGCACCTAGGTTTTTGGAGGAGAGAGGATGTAGGTGTCAGTTTTCTTGTCCAAGAAACACAATACCCAGCACCCTTATAATTTCAGGAGGGGCTCAGGGGATTCAGTCTATTGTTTGTGGCTTCCGAGCAGGAGCATCATAATGAAGGGCGTGGCAGAGGAAATCCGCTCTGTTCAGGGTGGCCAGGAAGCAGAGCAAGGGAATGGTGCCAGATGGGGAGAGGCCAGGGAGTGGATATAAACCCCAGTCACACCTCCATGCCCCACCCAGGCATACCTGATGTGTGCTTCACTCATCGCTAGGCAGCTCTCCATCCAATGAAGTTGATAATTAGACTTAGCCTTCACAGAGATCTCTGTCACTACTGAATCAAGGCTGCTGATTAATACAGTCCTGTAATAGGATAAACAGTAATACCTATTGTTATTGTTTAGATCTAAAATGCCCCCCCAGAAGTCTCGTGTGTGCAGAGATGGGGCATTTGGAAGGGGGTTGGATCTCTATAGTCTTCTGTAGATTAATACATTGATGAGTTTGTAGCTAAATGTGCTACTAGGAGGAGGTGCCAGCTTAGAAGAGACAGGAGACTGTGAACACGTCTCAGAAAAGTGGATTCTTTTTTTTTTTTTGGTACTGGGAATCGAACTCAGGACCTTGCGCTTTCGAGGCAGGCACTGGAAGAAGAGTGGATTCTTGTCCTCTCTCATTCCTGGCTGCCATGAGTTAAGCAGCTTTCTTCCACATGCTCTCTTACCAGGCCATTTCCTCCAACTATGGACTGAACCCTCTGAAACTGGAAGCCAAGTAACTTCTCCTTTAAATTGTTGATGTTGTGGATTTTGAACAAGTGACAAGAAAACTGATCAGTGTGCCTATGGAAAAAATGACATTCTTGTATTGTATCTTCCTCTTCTGGGCACACTGGCACAAAGAGTAAGAAACGAATTCCTAAGAAAGTAAACTTTTAATTCATTCATTATGAAGATGGACTATATTGTATGATGGATATAAAAGACCCAGATAAAGTAGTTACTCTCAAATCAGCACATTCATTGTCTTTCCTCATACTGTGAAGCTGAGTGTTAGTCATGCAGCCTAGAAAATGATCTTTTCAAGATCTGTTCTTCCAGAGTCTAGCTCTTACATTAACAACCATCACAGCTATATATCAAGACAGATTGTTCCAATTAGTCAGTGAGGTCCAGGATTTTGAGAGCTGTTAATGTGTACATGAGCAGTTACTGTTGCAAAGCCAAAAGGCGGGCCTTTGGGGATTTTAGGTGCAGTGTATCAGTTTCAGTCATGAGCTGAGACAGGTGCCATGGGAATGGAATGTGTGTTTCTCTGCCGATCATCCACTGGAAGGTGGTCCAGTACCCACACACAAAGGCCTGCGAGGAGGCCAGATTCTGCTCTTGGGCCCAACCTCTTCCATCTACATCCATGCTGTCCTCTGTGTGTACTGGGAGCTGTGTGCTAAGCACTTGGGCACATCTGAATGACCGGAGCACACAAGGTCTTTAACTGGTGGGGTCCTGAGAAACCCTTCCTCTGTCTCTCCTCTGCCTGCCTTGAACTGAGCCACTTGGCTCCTCCACTGCTCCCACCATGATGTTCTGCCTCACCCTGGGTGAGTGAGTCAACCAGAATCTGCATCAAAAAGAACTGGACTTTTTTTCTATTTTCTGCAGCGAAATTTGAGCTATTTTTTCTCATTCCGTATTACTGGTAAATAAAAAAACACCCAATTGACAAGCCTGTTTTCCTCCATTCAGATAAAATGCCTTTTGTTTTTAATGTGAATGCGATGCCTTTCCATTGTGCTCAGTCTCCCCATTCCCAAAGTTTAGTAGAATCCTGCAATGTAAACGAGAACTGGAGTCAAATAATTGATGATTTGCGCAGTCTGGGGTGGCATCTCTCTCTTTCCAATAATTCAGTCTTTTTGTAGTCTTCAGAGATTTCAAGTCAACCTCAGAAGTGCCTGAAATTTCACCATTTGAGCTAAGGTATTGCTTTTTATTCAAAGTCTAATAAAGCATAGAGTAAACTATAATGGTTTTATTTAATAAAACATGAGATAATGCTGCAGTAGTGGCCTTATAAAGACCAGGAAAGGCCTTTGGATAAGGTGCATAGGAAGTCAAAAAGCACAGCACAATTGTGGGTAGGCTTGTGAGTTTCTTGTAGGGTCGGAGTTACTTGCAGCTATGCTCTGAATGAGGATGTGGGTTAAGGAAGAAGTGCTCTGGACCTACAGGTGCCTGCACTGGTTTTATTGCTGGTGCTAGGTGAGTTTGCCTCATCTCCAGAGGAAATGATGGCAGTGGACAGTGCTGTGCAGGTTGAGTGGGATAATGGGATATTTGAAGGGATTCTCTTAGAAGAAGAAACTGAACTGGCCTTTGGAGTACCAGAGGGAACCAGGATCTACTGGCGCAGACTGAACCGAACAAACTGGTGATGGCTGAGGCACAGCAGCTGGGCCAGGGGCTGAGTTCCCTGGAGCCACCTGGAGCAGGCATCAGAGAGTGAGAGTCCCACACTGGAACTCGTGCCCGGAGGAGTACACTGGGGTCTGTTGTACAACATGGTGGTTATAGTTCGTAACAAGGTATTGTACACTTGAAAATTCCTGAGAGTAGGTTTGTTGTTGTTTCTTTCTGGTACGGGAGATCAAACCCAGGTCCTTGGGCTTTTGAGGCAGGCGGCGGAACCACTGAGATAAGTCCCCAGCCCTGTGGTTGCTTCTTTTATGCTGAGGATTATCCCGGGCCTCCTGCATGCCAGTCAAGAGCGCTACCATTGAGCATCACCCCCAGCTTTGACAGTAGGTTGTGAAATGTTTCTACCAGCCAGGAGTGGTGGTGCATGCCTATTATCCCTACTCTGAAGGAGGCGGACGCAGGAAGATCACAAGTTTGAATCCTACTTTGGCAACGTAGCTAGATCCTATCTCAAAATTAAAAGGGCTGGGGATGTAGCTCCATGGTGTAGCTCCGTGGTATATCAACCCTGTTTTTTCTCCAGTATCACAAAGTAAAATAAAATGTTTCCACCATAAAAAATAGTTAGTGAGGTGATAGATTAGTGATTAGTTAGTGAGGTGATTAGATTAATTTAGTCATTCTAAAATGTATATAATAAGAATACTGTGTGGTATACCATGCATATGAAAAATATATATAGCTTTTGTCAGTTAAAAAAATAAAAACCAACTCCTCGTATAACGATAGTTGCCTCTTCAAAAAGTACTCACCCTATCGCTTCTCGGCCTTTTGGCTAAGATCAAGTGAAAAAGTACTCACCTGTGTTGTTATGATTCTATCAGATGTCACCCAAAGTCTCATGTAGTTGTAAGCAGGTGATCCGACTGTGGAACTCATAGCTGATTTGCCAGTAGTAGGTGGGGTCTGGCGGAAGAGGCGGTTCCTCCGCAGCTCCTGTCTCCCTGCTTCGCGGGCACCATGCCGCAAGAAACCCCCTCTGCCTTTCCCTCTTCCCCAGCGTCCTGCCTTGGAGCCAGCTACCTGTGGACTGAGACGGAAACCAAAATAAACGTCTCCTCCTTTAAGTTGCAAGTGTTGGGGATTTTGTTTCATTAAGGAGGAAAGTAGCTGAGACACTGTGTACGCTTCTTAGGCACTTTGTACTCACTGTGTCGTTTAATTATCATTGATTAAAAACATTCTGCCAGGAAAATAGCAGTTAAGTACAAGTTTCTCAGCTTCTGAGTTAAATGGAAATAAAAAGTCGCTATTGAGCCTAAAATAGTCATGATAGAAGTCAGTTAAGAAGCCTGGAAGCCTGAAGTTAGGTGTTATTTTCCGTAGGTCACAGTGTGATTTGCTATCCTTGAGATACTTTTCCAGCATTTGAGAGGTGCTGAGAAGAAAAAACAAGAATAATAACAACAAGAAGAAGATGAAGCAGCCGGCACGATGACAAAAAATATGAACAACATCCACAAAAAAAAAAAATACTGAGTACTCCTAAAATTAAATCTGATTTTCTACTTATACCCTGCTTAGTTCCACAGAATTTTTGTAATGAATGCATTTTACTTTAAGATCAGGAAAAAAATAAAGCAGTGACTCTAATTTGATATCATTTCCAAAACCTCATTTTCTAAGCCCGAACAAGTAGAAAAGCAGCATATAAAATCACAAAAATAAATTTTCCTCAAAATATAAATCATCTATGGTCTTTTGATTAAGTAATATGCAAATAATGTATATTCATTATAAAATAACTCCAATAATGTGTGAGTTAAAGTACAGTTTTCTTGCAGCTACACAGCGGTCTTTGGAAATGCCCATGTGCTGGACGGTTTTACACTTGGTAGATGATGGGATCTCGAGTGATGAGCAGCTCAGAGCACAGTGCCCAGGCATGCAGCATGGGCTTCCTCGTGGCTTGGCTCTGGGCAAAGCTGAGGCTCCGGTTCTTGGGGTTCGGATCTCCTCTCTGTCTCCTAACAGCCATATTGACAACTAACATTCTTACCTACCTCATTAGAGCTTTTGTGGGAATTAGAATTACAGTGTTTATCAGGTGCTCAGTATAATGACACGTAATAGTAATCAGTAAACATTACGCTTCTTCCCATGGTGTGGCTGCAGCATGTTGACTCTAGCCTTACGTTGGTGGAGGACATGTTGGCTCTTTCCTTTGTCCCTGTTAGACATCATCGCTATGCTCCTCTAGGCTTGTCTACCTCTTAGGGATAAACGCAGGTCTTCCGGGAGCCAAGCATATGGTGTGAAGAAGAGGAAAGATCGGAGTGGCCTCTAGTGCTGTTTGACTTGCTGACAGTTGTGAATATAAGCCAGACTGAGCCAGAACTTCTTTCTCAAAAGAAGCTGGAGATCTGTTTAGAAAGCCAAGCGTGTGTGTTAATATGGATACTACAGCCTGTATATTAAAATGCACAGTCCTGGCTTTCCTGACTTACGCATAAGCTAGAAGTGGTGATCTGTTAGGAGTTCACATCCAGGATGTTTAATCTAAAGTTCTTACAGCTGTGAACTTAATCCAGCATCACAGTTACAGCTGTGTCTACCTCTGAATTGAGAATGCACAGCACGCTCTGCTAAAAGTTACTTAGTTTGATATTACATGAAATAGATGCACATGTAGATTTTTAAACTGTCTATAATCTGACTTCTCAGCAGAATACAATAGGAGGGCTCCTAATTCAGGGCTAATGAACATCTTATGTTTGTTGGTGAATTTTTGTGCATAGGGATGCTTTCCTTATCTTTTTGGTTTTTGTTTGTTTGGAGGGGATCTAGTGCCTCATTGGAACCTGAATGTTGTTTTTGGGTTTCCTAAAAAGAAAGTATCTTGAGAAAGAACACATTTTTTTTTCCAGAGGACTGCTATTTCTTTTACTTTCTAACGTACAGATTATGTAAAATTTACATGAAATTTCATTTAGAACCTCATCACTGATGTTGTGAATTCTGTGAGTTCCGGGAGACCCCAGTGAAAGTGGCTACAAGTGAATTTTCTACCAGCACCCTAGGGGCAGGGGCCTTCTCCTCGTGAATACAGAACAGTGTGTCTTGTAGGCAACCTATTTAAACTTTTTATCTAATACAAGAACAAATGCAGTGCTCTTGCAGTTAATTTTGACAGTCCTCTGGCTTAGGTGGCAGTAGGTTGTACGATACTGATGTCTTTCAGTCACCTCTAGTTCCAGCATGGGCACTGGGCACTCCAGTACCGGAATTGGTGGGCATCTTGTTTTGACGTAACTGAATGGCAGATGCAGTGCTTGTCTGTCTGTAGAAGAAGGAGGAGGTGGAAGTTCAGCAGGTCTGACCCAACAGGCTTTGTTCAATGTAAGCAGATTATGGTGTGAACAATGGAGGGAGAGATGAGAACTGGCAGGGAACTGGGATTTGAATAGGACTTTCAATTTATTTGACATGCGCACTGTTCTTGTGAATGGGGACGGAACCCTGGTTTTTGGTGATAGGTGGGAAGATTGGCTCCAAGATTG